TTTCAAACAACATCTGTTCTGATGATTCTAAGAGGTCTACATACCATAGTTGTTTCAAGCTGCCAATCGAGGTAGGCTGCTTACCTGTAAAAATCAATGAAAGTTTGAAGTTTAGGTAATTTACCAATTTGACACGTCATTCGTTGTAATCTTATGCCTTCAATATCGAGATGATACAAGTTTGTTAAATTCATCAGGTTATTGGCAACTCAATAAGATTCTTGCACCAATGCAAGATTTGTATCCGCAAGTTGAGCAAGGCACACACAGTTTAAGACAACATGTGGTCCGATGATTCTAAGAGGTTTACATACCATAGTTGTTTCAAGCTGTCAACCGAGATAGGCAGCTTACCTAATTGGAGCAAAGATAATACACGAAGATGCTGGAATCTTCTTCAAGAGTCACTGATTTCCGCATCATTCATGTTTGCCAAAACGAACTTTGATATGAACAAAATTATATGCAAATTTTATACTTCATCAAGGCCTACAAGATTGTCTCGATCTTCAGATTTAGTTCTTGCATAAAACAAGTGACGAGTCTTCTTAGAAACCTTCCAAGAATCACCATCATTTAAACAAACAACAAACTCTCCATACATAAATTTTGCCAAGTCATTTGTGAGGTTATGCTTGACGAATAATGGTGAGTTATCACTTATTTGTTAAAAAAGGATGCTGATACGAGGTCTTTAAAGTACCTGTATCCTATTTCTCTCACCTCTTTATTTCCCTCCAATAGTGAAAATTACTCAGTTTCTCCATTTTCCTAAGTAAGGAATCTAAGGAGTAATAAGATTAAACTATGAGACTATGCCCGCCATAAGTCAATGTCTTTAATTTCACCATATAAGGATGGTCATTTGAACAGTCCTTTAAAGATAGTTTGTTAATGGTTGTAGGTCTGAGAAGTGAAAGCACAAACTGAGAACATTTTGTAATTTTGAGTTCTTTTAAAAAAGAAAGGTGGCTGGGTAGGGTTTTCTTTAATTTACAACCTTTACTTATGCGAAGCACTTGGAGGAGAGGAAAAGCTTTCTATTCATTTTCAGCAATATTATGAATCCATTGACACCATTATGGCATCCTCTCAAAAGTCAAACTCTCGAGTGATCTGAATGCAATGCTTGTAGAAGTGCAATTTCCATAAAACTCAAAACCTACACTCTCGACTTTGTCGAATGCTTTGATCATAAGTCTTTTTAGATATGCTAAATGACCGAGTGGTGGTAGGAAGGAACACTAGCATTCACTAAGTCATAGATCCACTAAGAATGGTTCTATTAACCAAGAAGGGAATCTTGAACCCTAATAACCAACAATTATAAGACAAATCACATTCATATTAGGCTTTAGTTGATGAAGCACACGTTCATCAAGAGAACCATACAAGAAGTGACGAGTCTTTCTAGAAACATTCCAAGAATCTCCATCATTTAAACAAACAACAAACTCTCCATACATAAATTTTGCCAAGTCATTTGTGAGGTTATACTTGACGAATAATGGTGAGTTACCACTTATTTGTTGAAAAAAGAGCTTGATACGAGGTCTTTAAAGTACCTGTATCCTATTTCTCTCATCTCTTTATTTCCCTCCAATAGTGAAAATTACCCAGTTTCTCTATTTTCTTAAGTAAGGAATCTAAGGACTAATAAGATTAAACTATGAGACTGTGCCCGCCAGAAGTCATTGTCTCTAATTTCACCATACGAGGATGGTCATTTGAACAGTCCTTTAAAGATATTTTGTTAATGGTTGTAGGTCTGCA